CTGCTGTAACACCACAATTTCCCCATTGTGGGACAATAAGGGATTTTATATTCTATTTGATTTTAATTCAGTCCCCTTTACTCTAACATAGAAATCAAGCGCTACCCATTCGCTTCAGAGGTCTTGTAAAAAGCAAAAAGGTTCACCTGTGAGTAAAATCATCTAATCAGTTGTGGAGAAATTTAAAGTGGAATTAGATTATAAAAATGCATCCTGAGTTTAAAACATCTAACTCTTCAAACTATTCTTAGTCGTCCACTAAAACAAAAAACCCAGAGATCCACAACTAGGATGAGAATCAGAAGCTCACAGAATCAAGAGAGAAAAATGTTGTCGAGGAAAAGAAAAGTATAAAACGTCCCATTTGCAGGTTTCCACAAATTATACAGGGGAGACATTGAACATATAGATAAATGGCCTTTTGTTAGATGAGCTGGAAATAAAAATGTATCCTTCATAATAAATGCTTGGTTTGGTGGAAAAATTAGAACGCCACATAACCAGGATCATCCAGGAAGATCTGTTAGGCAGCTAAAGATAGGGTCAGAGGTGGATCTTCTAGAATGACAACAAGCTCAAATGGACACATAGAGCTACAATAAAACAGGTCAATCCTTTGGGGAATCTGTGGAAAGAAGAACACTATTGATAATGAAATAAAACTGATATGTGGAACAGCTTAGGCTGAGTTTGTGCATTCTGTATCACTGAGAGGCAGAAGAAGACGGTAGAAACAGAAAAAGTCCCAAAGGTTTTAAGGTTTCCTTTAGGACCTTATTCATTTCTACATTTTTTTTTTTCAGATAGCTTTAATTTTCTGAGTAAATGTGCATTAAAGAGGATATTATGATAATATTCAGCTCTCTGTAAGCATTTATTGTCTGCAGTGCTTCAAAAGAAAAACAAATGCTGGCACATAAGAGATTAATGGATGCTTTCTAACTGACATGAATTCTTTTTTCTAAGGTTTTTCTGCACATCAGCTGCAGATAGCGAAAACTTAAATTCTTCATGTGAAATTATTAAATGGTTCCATTATTGTTTTATGGTGATTAAAAATAAATCTACTTAAGCCTCAGAGGAAAAAATAAAAGCAAAGACCACCTGAGGAAAAGTCTCCTGCTGTTATGGGCCTGTTTCAAAGCTCAGGGAGAAACCTGCTGGTGTGAAGGCCCAATCACAAGGTCTAAACCGCAGCCAGAGCATTCAGGAAAACCAGGTCATATGGCTAAAAGCTGCCTTGATCTGACCAGGTGGGCAGGCCCAGAAAAATACCAGACAATCCCTTTCACGCCTGACTTAAGCACAAATGTTCTCACAATCTCTGTTCTAGTTGTTATACTGAGCCGAGCAGAAGTCGCTCTCATTAATGCTGTTATTGTTCAGCGTTTTAAGTCGATTAGGAACGGGCCACCCTGTACAAGAAAGGCCTACCTCTGTGTTAAACTACAATTATTATCCCAGAAATCTACAAAACTGACTGCATAATGATAAAAAGTTTTGAACTGGTTTTAATTTTCATTGGTTTTCACTGCTGATCCTATACTGACAGTGACATTACTGACATGATTAACATTCATCTCTGCCTGCTCAATTACATAAGAAATTATAATTGCATTTCAGATTTTAGTTAAATACAGAATGCAGCGTCTCACAAAAGCTTAACAGCATAATAACCCGTGACTCTGTTGTGCCACTTTTCACCTCCTCCTGTAATAAGATTAGCTCTGTTTATATGGGCTGAACTGGTTTTGGGGAAACATGAGCAGATGCAGTAATTTAGCTTGAGCAATGTGCTCAATTCAGTAGCTTGTCTATAAATTTGCTTCAGATGTGTACGCATGCAGTTAGATCAGTGCTGCCCTCCGGTGGCCACTAAGGAATACAACAATGTAACTAAGAGCAGCTTTGAATTTATTTTTGTGCAACATTCTTAAGTTTTTAACAAGCTCTTTCACATAATGAAAAATATCCCTAATCCAGTTTCATATTACACAACCAGTGGAAAAATATTGCCATTATGCCATACAGTTGTTCAGCACATGAACACTTATAAGGACCAAAAGGGTCCTTATAAGTGCCTTGTAAGTAACTGCATGGTGTAAATTGCAGCCGGAGTCAAGCCACTTCTAGCAGTGAAATTCAGGACCATAGGAAACCTCTGAAGTGCAGAAATCATCATCAATGTCTTTCAGAGGCTAAAGAGAAAAGAAAAAAAATGGCTTGTTGTTCAGTGACCTAAAACAGTAGTCTTTACCTTCACCTCCTGCATGTTTTAGATGCATCTGTGCTCCACTAATTCTAAATGGTTCAGATACAAACATCTCACTATCTACAGTCCATATTCTTCAAAGCTCTCCAACTGATCTAAATACAGAAGTAAAGGTCAAAGATTCAAACTCAAACCAGCAACAAAAACATTTACACAACTTTTTTTATTGTTTTTTTTTTTGTTTCTCAACAGAATTGTTTTACAAAAAATTTAAAATAAAAAAAAAGTTGTACCTAGCTATTGCATGTCATGCTGGCAATTTAATCTACATGCAAAAATACAATGATAAGAACACTGATAATGATACTGTACAGACAATGACGGGAGTTATAAGAGAAAACGGTGAAACTATTGATTTGCCCCAGTTGGAGGCATGTGTCTGTAGATGAGACATCGACCAGAACAGAGCACTAATGAGGGAAAAACCTCCTGGAAAAGTGGACAGTGTAAACGTGAAGAAGGCAGGATGGAGGTTACCTACTCTACAGACCAGAGGACAGGTGTGGGGGGCTTTAATCACGATCACAAACACTCACCTGGGCATACAAAGACTACTAGCCTGTACAGTTTGAAGCCCTTACACAATAAAGCCATGCTTCATCGATGCACAGATAAAACAGAATAGATCAAACCTTATCTGAGGTATATGGCTTCAGAGGGGAAATGAGGCTAACTAAACAAAAATATGTTACAAACTCAGTTCATTTCCACACGGGGGTGAAAAAAAACACAAAGGTTTTCCCGTTTCCTTTAAAATTGGGATTTGATGGTAGGGAAAATGAAGCTGCTGAATGGTTTCTGTGTGCACAATGCATGATTTTGTCTACACTACCTGTCCTGCTTAGCTGCTTTTCCCACTCGGAAATCTCTCCCTGACCTTTTGTTAACCTTAGGAGGACAAGAGTGGGCTGATTAAGGGGACCAAATTTATAATCATTCAATTCCTTCATTCAAGAAGATACAGAAACCAGGCAGACACCTTCAGGGTTCGTATTTACAGATTTGCTTGTGTGTTTTTCCCCCAATGTCACATCAGAGATAAAGTACAAAAAGAAAACTCATAAGAGACTGAATCAAATGACACTTGATAGGAGTCTGACAGCGTCCCTTTGGCTTTCAATTCAGTGAACTACATTTTCTGGAAAATATGAGCTTTGTTGCAAGTTCCTCGGGTCCCTTATTTCAAATCTGTGGTCGTCCCTCGGTAAGTAGATTAAATCTGTTGGCGTCAGTCTGGCTGGTGTGGGCGTCATGTTGTCGAGCAGGGGTTCCAGGTGGGGCTCAGTCGGTGCTGACCTGTGTGACCTGCGCATCGGTTGTCTGGTTGGTGGACTGGATGAACATGGGCTGGGTCAGTTCCTGTCCCGCCGGCATCGTCACCTGTTGTATCTGATAGAGCTGCTGTTAAAGGGAACAAGGCAGACATTTCAGACTCTCCACAAAGGAAGCTTTTAACATCATGAATAATATGACTTTAATTCCTCTTTAATACCATCCTATCAGTGATTTTAACGACTTTCGGATTTACAATTCTATACTTTTCCCAAATTTTTTTCTTCTTCTTTAACTTCTAAAATAATCACCTAATTGTTTTTCTCCTTCACAAATTATACACATGAAAGTAAATGGTTTATAATTTCTATCAACTTAAAATCAAATCCAATCCTCTACCATACTTTAGAAGATCGTCCTCCATCTAAATTCTCCTTTCTTCAGATAATTTATTGACTTATTAGTGTTCATTCGTCAAATACAGCTAAAATATAAAAACATCTCAAGCTTGAATGGTTATATAGATGCGTTACCTGTCCATCAGTGAACTGGTTGAATTGCTGCTGCCCTTGCTGCACCTCAGTCTGTGTGATCTAAAAGAACAACATCAGATAATGTTGATGAATTCAGTTGGCTTCACTTTTGTCACACACCTTTCCTGTGTATAGTTAAACAAAGAGGTCTACAAACGGATGTCACATTGTTTTTAGGCATTTGTTGGTGCAGATAAACCAAAGGTATGGATTCATTTAAACTCAGAACGGTTGTAAATTATTGTGCTTAAAATTAAACAAAGACTCACATATATGCATTTATCTCAATGTTCTAATCTAATGTTGGAGTAAATGTCCCTTTGCAAGTTGAGAAACCAACTGCTTTAAAGGTATTGTGGAGGATTTTTTTAAAAGACCCCCTTTTAAAAAATGCGTGTGCGAGAGCATACATGTGCCCATTTCTCCTCGTGCACGCCATGTTTAAAATGTGCTGTTCTCATTTCCTAGTTCCTGACATATACTGTATCTGATTTAGCATAGCATAGATCTTCACAGGTTGCAGGAAGCTTGACGATACGCTGCTTTTGTCTGTATTTGCGATCATTTTCCTCTTGAAACACACAAAGTCCGAACCATCTACCACCATTATGCAAAACTTTTATATTGTGCACATATTTCTTGTTTTTAACATTTACTGATGTTACTAGTTATGCGATTGGCATCCTCCGCTGTAAAAAGTTCAGTTGAAAGATCATGTCTCATTATGAAATCCATGTTAATAATGAGAAAAATGTAAAGGGTCGATTAGAAGCATAAATGAGGCTGTGTGTGGTAAACCTTTTACCTGCTGAGTGTTTGCCAGAGTCTGAATCTGTCCTTGGACCACCTGCGCTCCAGAGACAGGCTGGGCTAGACGGATGTACTGTAACTGGCCTGTGTTCAACTGCACCTACAAAGCACAGCCAGAAGAGGGAGACATACCTCAGTTTAAGACAGAGGTCATTTAGACAGGAAGGACACAGCCATTTTCCCCATCCTGGATCAAGCAGAATGCTTCCCCTTCAGCTGTTAGAATAAATCAACAATGTTTTATTAGCTATCTTTTTTGGTGCAGCCTCTTACCGGGATTTGCTGAATCTCTCCTGTGTTGGTTATGATCTGCTGCATGACCTGCATGGTTTGGCCTTGTGCTTGAGCTGTCTGAGCTTGACCCTGGGCTGCAGCAGCTTGAACGATCTGCACCTGCTGTCCCTCACCCACCTGCATGGCGACGGGCGCGCTCTTTTGCAGAGAAGAGGAGAAAACAGAAGGAGAAACAAAAGCAGAAGCACATGTTACTGCAGGTAGCAAGCAATCTAATAATGCTAATTACCATAATATCTTCTAATTAAAAAAGTGAAAAATATGCTGGAGAATTCGTTGACATCCCAGGTTATAAGTGTTACCGTTCACCTGTGTCTGTAACAGTATCCTGTACAGGTCATCTGATCTCAGCCTGCACTCACCCCTACAGGCCTCGGTCAGACAACAGGACAGACTCCTTGGGTTGCTGTTTTCCAAAAAGCCTCTACACATGTGACAATTGCACATATAAAGAGCATGTGTGTTTACCGTGATGGGTGTGCCTTGTGATTGCACCTGCACTTGCTGTAACTGCTGCATGGTGGCACCTTGCAACATCTGATGGCCGACAGAACAGAATGAGAAAATGAAAGGAGACACACAGTGAGAAGGGCAGCGACTGCAGCAACTCAACACAAAATGTAAGCATGGGTGGTGTGAATGCATCCAGCCGGAGGTTTTAGAGGGCAAAATAAAAGCAAAAATTTAAATCATTATGTTTAAGATATATTCTGAAAAGAGCAAAAAAGAAATCAGAACATAAATTAAAAAGTAAGGCAGGAAATGTGTCATATGGCAAGCAGAAAAAGCTTAGTGATGTGATATTTAAATAAAGGTCAGTGGAGTTTGATAAAAATGAAAGCTAGAAATACAGATGCTTCTTTATTATATACAAGTTTAGACTTTTTGTCTATGAACAAGTTTTAAACCTGATTTTCCTTTGTAAATATCAAATTTAACAGTGGAGTCTGTTGCCATTACCCAAAAGTTTATGCAGAGTAAGAAAAAAAAAAAAATCTTTTTAATATGCAGCAGCCCATGATAGGAAATAACCTAAAAATAGGAAACTAGTCTTACTGACAATTTTAAAGGACTTCTTGTTAAATTGGAGATAAGACATCTGGCTGCAAATTATTTGCCCAAAATAATTAGATTTAAAGGTATAGAGGACGATCTTTTATTTTTGGGTGGATCATCTAAATAAGTGTTCCTCCTAATTGTCAATCATTCTGATGATATGTTTATCTAAGGCTGTCCTATATGCTCGTCCCGATAGCTATCTTATACTGCGCATGCGCACTTTCAGCCTCATGTGTGTGGTGAGCTACGGTTTCAGACAGTAAGGCCTCAGAAGAGGCAGATATATCCTGGAATGCTTTGCGCAGAGAACACTGTTCTCTCCTCGCAAAGCATTACGGGATTTGCTGTCACAGCGGCCCGCTATCACTATAGGCTTTAAGTACCCTACAGTGGCAAATAGTAACAAAGATGGCGCAGGCCCCACGCGGTGGAGCAGGAGTTACGTGACAAATGGAGCAAAAAGCAGTGATCTGTCCGAATAGTCAGTTAACTGAGTTTGCTATTAAGTACACTATATAGTCCTCGCTGTATGTGGACACTGTAAGCTTGTATGAGCTATGAGAACAGCACATTTTAAACAGGGCGTGCACGAGGAGAAAGGGGCTTGTGAATGCTCTCGCACGCGCATTGTGTTTTAAAAGGAGAGGGCGGGTCTTTTAAAAAATCCTCCACAATACCTTTAAACCCAGATTATAAAAAAAAAATAAAGAGAGATTTTCATTCACAAATAATAAATAAGTTTGTCCCCTTTGCAAATCCTGTAAGTTAACACAAAGCTGTTCCAGAATCAATATAAAATAATGTTTATGAAGTTTCTTTATTTCCCTGTTCATAACATTTTCTGTTCCCAGACTTTGTGTTTCAAGATGACTGAAAATAAAACTAATTTCATTTCAGCCAGCTGCAACGCGATCAGTGCTCATAATATGAATAGAATCATCTTTTGGAACACATTTTGCAAACATAACAGATACTGTAAGATATCTTCTTATCCAGCTTTCAGCTCTTCCCAACTTTCTACCTTTACAGTATTCCCAAACATCATGATTTTGATTCAGTAGAAAGACGACCAGTCTCCACATTTAAACCCTCATGGTTGTGGAAGCCATTACTGAGGGAGGTTGGCCGCTTTCTGTAGCTATTTAATAGCTAAAAAAGAAGTCTGAAGGAACACAGGGATGTAGGATGCTGTTTAAAATTAAACTTCTTTCTGAAACAACAATGGAAAGTCTGAGCTTCAATCAAGAAGAAAATAAACAGGTTGGATGCTGGTAACCTTTAGAAAAGTCCCCCCAACCTAAATATTTGGCTTTGTTTTGAAATAATAAAGCATCTCATTGTATCTGCTCTCTCAAATACTGGTTGGTTGAAAAAATATTTCAATACTGGTACTTTGGCATTCTTTAATTCTTTTTCTTAAACATAACTCAGATTAATCATCTGAAACAAGTTAAAGTTTCACAAAAACCGGACAACAGGTTCTAACTGGTGCATCTTTTAACTACCTTTTCTTTTTAGATCGAATATGAAAACCATTCTAAATCGATGCTTTACAGATTACTTTTCCTTTTGAATGAAAGACAAAGCAAATACCTTTTTTATTAATAATAATAAAAATATTGATAATTGAAGTTTATTGATCTCACATTGGGAAAATTTACGTCTGCATTTAACCCATCTCCGTGGGGAGCAGGGGGCTCCTTGGGGGCGCCCAGGAAGTAATCAGGGATTAAGGGTCTTGCTCAGAGACCTAGAGTGGCAGTCTGTGGGAGTGGGGCTCGAACTCAGAACCTCAGGATTCCGAGGTCTATGCCCCAACCACTAGGCCGCCACTCCCCACATTATTTTAGAGCACCTATGAATGTCATTCCCATTGAACAATCCACTGAGTTTGCATGGGGTGAGTGTTGAAGTTTACTGCAGTAGCAGGGCCATGAGTCACACAAGGCCTAAGCTAGTATGACAGCTCGCTGAAGCCAGTCTGCTGAAGCAGCACAGCTATGCAACACGCAGACCAAACAAGAGAGAAAGAGCCCTAAGCAGAAAAAAAAAAATGGCAGGGAATGAAAATATTAGACAAAGAAACAGAGGTAAGTAATAAATGATGTCGCCGGGTGACAAGGACACAATGAGGAGGGTGGTAGGGTGGCTTTTAGCTCGATATTAAAATAAATACTAACATACAGTTTTGGATGTATTGGATGTATCTATGCAAGTCTTTCTACATGTCCTATGTATAAAGAAGTTATGAGGTGCAAAGTAAAAATTGAGAAAAGCTGCTATTTCACTCACTCCTGCTGCTAAATGTGAACTAGAAGCTGGTTTATTATTCACCAGTTGTGCAGGATTATAGGGTGAAGCAAGGATACAGTGTTCTCTGTTAGAGCTTTGGCACGTATCTCCTTTTCTGCTGTTATTTTTTTACTTTTGGGGGAGATGTACTCTACTAAAGTATCAAGCCTTCTAACATCAAGACCTTCACAGGGCCTTGCTAGAGTATTCATAGCCTTTGGACTTTACACATTTGATCAAGTAGATACGCACTTATTGGTGTATTTTATCAGGATTGTATGTGATGGACAAACAAAGTAAATAACAACTGGAAAGTGCTTTTGATTTCCCTAAGTCTGAAACCCCTAAATAAATAATATTAGTGAAAGATATATTTTTAAAAAACTCATAGTAAAAACATTTTAATTCCCTTTTGGGCTAATAAGGTTTAGCTAGATTAAACTGGGGGAAAAAAAGTTTTTTAAAGAAAGCTATGACTCGTTTTGATTTTGCAAAAGATTTTTGAGACACAGCAAACATGTGGAAGATGATCTGTTCACACCAAACCAAACTGAGCTATTTGGCAAACCTGCAAAATAATACGTTTGTCTAAAAACTAACAGCCCATGTGACCCTGAACACACCATATGTCCAATGTGAAACATGGGAGTGGCAGTGTCATGCTTTGTTATTATGGTTTTTCAGCAGGGACAGGGAAGTTGAACATAGTAGGAGAGTAGATGAATACAGAACAATGCTAGAAGAAAACCTTCAAAAACCTGTTAGAGTTTGAACTCGGGCAAAGGTTAACCTTCTAGCAGCACTCTTGTCCTGCAAAGCTGGTTGAGATAACCATAAAACCTGCATCGTTTCAGCAAAAGGTGGCTACAAAAAACACACACAGGAGGATTGAATTTAAATGTCTGTGATTATAGATTAGAGTGTTGGTTTGGGGTAAAAAAAAATAAAAATTATAAATACTTTTGCAATGACTGTTTATTATTTCAGACACAAAATCCACTCATAACATATGAGCAGATTTTATGGAGATATTTTCTCGGAGGTGTCCCTCATGTCAACGGAACAATTAATTTAAATTAGGCAGTGATCCAGCTCTTGAGACGTGGACTTGAACGTACCTGCCCTTGCTGTGGCTGTGTGATTATAATCTGTCCAGGCTGGATGGTTGCAGCTGTCTGTGCACCGGCCTGCTGACCTTGCTGCGTGCCTTGCACCTGGACGGCTCCGGGCTGTTGGGCCAAGGTGAAGTAGTACTGCACCGGCTCTGCAGGGGCTACTGACTGACGCATCTCCTCCTGTACAATTAATATGGTAGTTATCAAATAAGGTCAGGAACAGTTCACCCTCTCTGCCGCTTGTTAAAGAGACACTGAACCGCAGCATCAGAAGCGGTTAAGGTTCTTGCCCACACGCTCATTTAAGACTTATTATTACATCAATCAATGATTAATAAATGCTGACCTGTACTTCCCTGTTTTATTAGAGAGTAATTAGCAGGGCTTCATCAGGTTGATGTTCCTCCACCCCCAGAAGTGTAAACATCCCTCTCCCAGCTCCATGACAACACAGCTGAGAGTGTAGGATGTTTACATGCCTGGAGACGGACACTAAAATTTAAATATCTCACTTTTCCATCTGGCACTGTAGGTTTCTACAGCACATCATTTGTCTCCTTATACTTAAATGTCTGCAGATCCTACAGTGAAATGATCTATGCAGCAAACAATGCATGTCTGTCACCTCTATTGGATTTATGGTTGGCCGTTTGTGGCAATAAGAAGCTGCAAACATCCGACTGAAAGCCCTCACTGTTAAAACACAAGCTTCCAGTCAAGGATGTTTACAGCACCGTGGTGCCGAGAGAAAAAGGTGAGATGATCGGGCTCACCTGGATGAAAAGCCTGAGTGTGTTAAGAGAAAGTGAATATGGTTGGCAAGGGTTGGCTGCATAGTTTAACATGTGTGAAACAACTGCAATCTTACCTGTGATGCTGTCATAAATTTAATCAGTTCTATACAACTAGTAGGAAAAAATCGATATCCTTCATTTTTACCCTTTTCACCCTGTTTATCATTTGTGCTGCTACTACTGTTTGTTTTCATTTTCTAGGTGTGGGTGAGAAAAATGGCCGATGATTGTTCCTGAATAAAGAGGAATCAAAGTCACAGGTAATCAATCATTTCTCGACTGGAGAGTTTTAGCAGTGATGTAATATATTAATTTTGCTGATGACTTTTTTATGAATGGAAATTACAATTTGGAGGAGAAATCTCAGAGTTGTGGCTTGAACCCCATATAAAAAATGTTGGTAAGTAGGAGGTAAATCCTCAAGATACAAGTGGAAACAGTGACGTTTGTCTGTCTGTGAACTAAAGTTAGGGATGGATTTGAATATTTTTAGCAGTGTGTCCCTCATGCTAAAGAATAATCTATTACATTTTGGTGTTGATCCAGATCATAATCTGAATACAGGATTTTTTTAAAAGATTCTCTATCATCTTGAGATAGGGATATTTGGTGGAGCAAGCAGTTCCCCACTAAACCAGAGGGTGGCAGCACTGACTATTTACAGCCTCAGCATCAGACTCAAAAGATTTGGAGGCATTTTGCTAAAGACAAAAACACAAGAAAAGGGAATGTTGTTGGTTTGTTTGCAGGATCAGTTGAAGATGTATGAGCAGATTTTATGTACATATTTTTTTTGGAGGCGTATCTAATGTCAAGGAACAATTAGTTTAAATTAGGCAATGATCCAGATCATGTGTGAAATCACAATTTGGGGCTAAATGTGCAGTTTGGCGGAGGTCAGTTGGGCTACTGCAGGCCTTGATGCTCAATTACAATTTTTTTGTGAAATCTGATTTTTTTGCATTGCCCTTCACATTTCCAAATATATGCGACTTGTATGTGATCTCCTGTGTGAACTGCATTCATAAAGCTTAAGTGTCCCGCATGCGCAGTAGAGGACCTAATGACGTCACAGGCCAGTGTGCTTCATGTTTACGGAAGTAAACATGGATGTAGCGCTGGAGCGCTCCTAGCGATCTTTCCAAACCTTAAAACCTGAATCTTTCCAAGATGGTTACACATAAATACTGCTCTCCGCATCATGGTCCACCATGGTGTTTGTTTTTCTTGCCGCTTCTGTGTAGCAAGAAGCAGAACAGTGACCTATGTCGGTTACTAATGACGTTCAGGTTGGATAAATGCGACCTGATTGTTCACACACAGGTCGCATTTGAAAAGATCAGATTCGTATCGGATTCAGGACCACATAGCCAAGTGGCCTGGGTTGGATTGGAAAAAAATGGATCTGTGTTGTTTAGACAGTCATGAAAAGATCAGATCCAGGTCGCATATGGGCAAAAGAATATTTCAAATTCAAATCTACCAGGGGTATGAATACTTATTTTCAGTATCACTGTTTTAGTCAGAGAAATCCAAAAGCTGCAAGAGCCTTTCATAACAAGAAGGTTTCTATTTTATTCAACATGTTGAGAAAGAGGTCTGTTCATTCTGGCTATAAGAGAAAGTGACTTTCAGGAGATTACATAAAAACTTCCTCAATTCATTTTTATATAAATTTCATATAGAACTGCAGAAAACTCTGCAATTAGTGGCAAGTATATTAGTATTTTTAGAAAGTCAGCTGGATTGAGCCTCCCTGCTGAAGATGCCTACCTGACATGGACGACATCACCATGGAGGCTAAAGATTAATAACAGAAACTGTTTGAAATATTTATTCATTGCCTTTCCATAATTTCTGATTCATGTCTCATATTGTGAGCCACAACAGGTAGTAGCCTTTTGGAAACACCATCTAACTATATAATCATCATACACTATTTTAAGAAAAAAATAAACTTCATCAACACTCATTTGTTTTAAAATAATAAAACTCTAGAGCAAATCCTTTCACTAACACTGTAAAGTCTCAATGTCTGCTTACGGCAAACTTTTTGAATGCAGTTATATCTTCCAAAAGTGTAGTTCTTAAGGATAAATGGGATGCAGTTCAAATCTGTATTGGCAAGTCAAGGCTTTAAAACATCCAGACCAATCTCCAGTATTTAGACTTTGTTCTCAAATGTACATTTTATTCACTAAATTAGCTCATATAGTCTGCAGAAATTTTCTCACAGAAACCTTTAACAGGAGTTGGTGCAAACTTTTTTTGTTTATCTTCATATTTTTTGAAAATATGTAAGTTTTTCTTTAGCAGAGAGAGGAAAATCCCTTATTTATAAATAAATAAATAAATAAAAGACAAACTACTGTGTTCCATGGTGTGTTTTTTCCCCAGCGGCAGTGTGTCCACAGTAACTCCTAAAGCAGGGTGTGTGTTCCTACCTGTCGTTTAGGGGGCTTTAGGTCGTCCCGGGGCACGATGTCAATCAGGAAGTCAAACTGGTCAAACTTTGTTATCGCCATAGCAATGTCATTCCTCTGTAAGAACAAGAGACACAGAAGGTCAAACTTAATTATCCTAAATCTCTATATGCGACCCTATATATAAACAAGCCTGTTAGTCTGAGTTCATCATTCCCAAAATAACATGTCAGTTTCCAGCAGGGGCTAAACAATCTCTTACTTTAATAACTGAGATAAAGGAATTAGAAACATGTTTGAATTAAAAATATTAACATTTATATACGAATGAATGGTTTTATATTTAATCTATATAAAAATATGAGAAAAGGTGCTACTTTTAAGCTTTGATTAGCGTGTGTCTGCTCTCGTTTTAGCACACTACTATGGCAAAAAGGATGTACATTAGGTTTTGAAATTTTGATATAAGAACAATTAGAATTTCAGTATTCTATCACTTCTTGGAGCTTTTTCTCTAATAACTGTGCTAAAAGTTTACAAAAGACAAATGTGTACGTAGTGCTAAAAAACATCAGTGAGATGACCGTTCTTATAGTGAATAAAGGCACACCGGTCTCCTGCCAGAAATGTGTCCGAGATAAGTGGGAACGAACAGGAATGACATTTTCCTCCCGGGCACATGCTCTGCTTCTATACACTTTCCGACATCTACAGCAGGGCGTTATCTCTGTGGAATTTTCCACAGGATATTGGCTGTCAGGACCCCCCCATTGTGGCCTTCCTTGTAATACAGGCTATTTATAGTGCCTTGATTAATATCTGGTAACATCAGGTCTCATCTACACTTGCTCTATTGATGAGTGTTGTTATGGTGACCCAGTTGGCGTGGCTACGCCACACACCAGGAATCTGCATATGCGTGAGTAAATGGAGGGCACTGAGTTTTCCTCAGTTAACCTAATGAAAAATAACAGACTCATAAGGAGAACCCAGCTAAAGTCTAACAATCGCTGTAAAACTGTATTAACATGTATACAGGAATGGGCCGGTGTGACATTCTAGCTGTATGATAACCTCAAGCAAAAATATCACACTTTTACATTATTACGATGACATCTTTATATCTAAAATATTTGATTTAAAGAAGAAAATTAGAAAAAAAAAAAACTAAATGTTTGCCGAATTGTTGGCCGGTCTTGAAATTAATCTCTAAAGTCTAAGTAAACATTAATGGTCACTGAAAGGTTTTTTTTTCTGACCACAGGTGTCTTTGCACCCAAATTTCTCTCCCTTGCTGGCTCTTATTCACCTTCAGTTTTGAATTCATACTTATAATTTTTGTACCTACATAATTTCCAACATGAACAAACAAGTAACAGAAAGTTTGAAGCAAAGGCATTCAGCGTATTTACTTTTTGATCTAAAACTAGTCAAATACACAATCCAAAACACAGGAGGAAAGTTTTTATACTGATGTTTCAGAATTAAGGTAACATGTTCATTTTAGGATGACAAAGGTTTTTCTTGAATTTAGCAAATAGTGCTGTGTGATGCTCCTGCAAAGTGCTATTACATTAGATTTCTAGCCTCCTCCAGCTGCCACTCTCCGACCGCACACAGGGCAACCTTCTTTCTCCAAGCGGTTGCTGTATAGCCAGAGTATTACCATAATTGCTGAGTTTAATTTGTTTCAAAGAGCAGAGGTGCCTGAAACTGTGACTTTTCCATATCAGCGTACACTGTAAAACCATTAACTGGCTCATGGCCACATTAATATATTAGCAAAAGATTGGGGCGGAGGGGGTTTAGTTAAATGAAAAGTGTGCAGACTTAAAAAGAAAGATTATAACCAACCAAGGAAACAGCAAATTTGTGACGTAAAAGAAAAAACGAGCAGTTTTCAAAATTTGCAACTAAAAAAATCTGAACTCTGTGGTGTGTGCTTGTAGTACCATCACAGAAGTGCTTTTTCCCACCATCTACAGTTTTAGTGTTTTTATGTTTTTTGGAAAACACCTCCAGTTTGGAACCTGGATAGAGATTGTCTGTAAAAGAAAATCCCTTTTTTAGTCTAACTGCACCAGCCTAATCTGAATCTGATGGGATCTTAAACTGTTCAATCATTACTCGAGGTTAAACTGTTTTGTAGAAAACACAAAACATTGTCCGATTGTCTCAGGTGGTTTTGCTGCCTCAACCAGGTTTCCTTCCAGGTTAATCCTGCATTTATCTCGATTCACATATTCCATCAACTTGGTGGCACTACCCTTTCCCTGTTGAAGAAAAGCATCCCCACAGCATGATGCTGCCACCTCCATGTTTCACACTGAGGCTTGTTGTTTAAATGTGTATCTTCTACCAGACATTGCATTTTCACTGTAGGCCAAGGAGTTTAGCTTTGGTCTCATTTTACCTCACTAATGGCTGACATAATGCATTTTTTCCTAACACTTATTGGTAAAAATCCATATTTGTGCAGTTCATGTACAATATTTGCCCTGTCAGCAGATTAAGCTGTGGATCTAGGACATTCTAAGGAGTAAAAATAAGCCTCCAGTTTAAGTGGAGCGCCATGTACTGGTAGGTTTGCAGCATTTCCATACTCTTAAACGCCCCCAATGTTCTCTTACAAACCTGTGAGGCCTTCATAGAATTGCTGAATTTATAATAAGATTAAACAACACATGGGTGGGCTATGTTAACTAATTATGCAACCTCTGAAAGAAATCAGTCGTAATTGATTTATTGGAGGTTCCAGATGGACACAAAACAAATACACCGCATGTTTTAGATCTTTTAACTTTGAAAAATCCTGCATCATTTTCATATAACTTTGGTATTAATAATTTCTGCAAAAAATTGATATAATTCTAAAATGTGTTGGGAAAAAAACAACAATTCCTTATATTTACATTTATCTTTCTTATAATAAAAAATAAATGTTTAATCTACCAGGAATAAATAAATACATTGGAGTTCAGAGTTTCTTTATCTTTTTCATGTTACCCATGTTTGCATCGAAGTGAGAAGCCCCAGGCTGATTTTGTAGGCATTCAAATATATATTTCTCCCCCTTTTGTAATCATGGTAAAAAGTGTTTGTAGAGTTGGACAGGAAAAATGGCCGCTGGAGGAAATAATTTACCAACTCAGTTCAATATTACTGGAAGAAGGATGAGATGGCAAGAAGCATATGACACAGACAAAAGTTATAAAGTAAGGTTAAAAACTAAAAATCACAGAGTAGTCAAAATTTTGGTTAGATTCTATTTATTAAACTTTAAAGGCTCTGGTTCTCAAACATCAAAACAGAGGAAGTGAAAAGGGGAAAGCTGATTTCTTGCCACTCAAATGTGCCACCGACCTGTAGTGTACGCCTCTTGTTGTCCTCGGTGTGGATCCACGCTCTCAGGGTGAGCTCTGTGATAAAGATCTGTGCAGCTTTGGCAAACAGGACCGGGGCTTCGGCGCTAATCATCTGTAGAGAGGACAGTGCCACACCTGAATAAACACACCTGTTCAAAGTAACATGAATAACCCTGACTTTAGGCTAAGATCTCAAATCTGCAGTTAATGAATTATATTAAAATATACAATTCTATCAAAGTCTGAAATGCTTTTTAAAGAGAACTCATGGCAATATAACTATATTTATTGCACATGATTTAGTCAGTAAAATCAAATCGGCAGCAAAATAAAGTATAATGTGCGTCATGTGCTATATAAGCCCTGCATGAATGCAGTAAAAGCTGCTGTGTCAGAACAGACAGAAGGGTCTCTCCCAGATATGTTAGTGATCTGCTGATCTCTTAACTGCTTTAAGCTCTGCTTTGCTAAGAGGATAGGACAGCACTCTGGACAAGGCACATTTAAAGCACACGCATGTTTTCTAAGCTTTCTGCAGGAGACCAAAACCGGCTGTTATAGGAGAACAATCATACTTTTACCAGACATATTAAATATGGACAAAAATGTCATGAGATCATTAAAGTCTATTTGGGGGGAAATTTCCACCTTATCCATTAGAGCCACAGATTACCAAGGTAGATCTGACAATCAGGGAATAGTTTATATTCTGGTTTGTATTTCTTATAGGCACTAAAGGAGGTTTTTCGTTTTTATGTTGTATTGTTTATAGATTTAACATAGTCCATGTTCTTTTCCAGTTCGATCATGACAGGAACGCAGGGCTGGGCCTTTGTAGGAAAAGAAATCCTTGTGATAGCGTTGCTGAAAATTGTAGTGATGGTTTTGGACAATGATTGGCCTAATTTGTGACCCTTTTCTCTGTCTGCCATCACACGACAGCCACCATTATCTCAGACTCTAAAATATACTTTAACTGTTTGAAAGGCAGTCAGAACCCATTTTAACAGGCATATATCATCAATGCAGAGAGTGAACACATGATTTCTGTTATACAATATCCTACCAAATATGGAGCCCCAGCAGTCCTTGGAAATCACAATTCTGCACACACTGATGTTGCAACGATGATTGTGATATTTGCCGTTCACCTAAATATTTTTTTATTTATTAGGAGCCAACCTGCCACACGGCAGCGTCACCTAAGGAGTTGCTAGTTATAGCAGGAGGTCTGACCTGCTGGCTCCATTTACTGATTTATTTTGCACTATAATCCATAAACAGGGAAATATGTTACATGTAGATTTGTAGTTTTTAAAGAGTCAGAAAAGAAGCGATTAAAATCATTATATATGCCTCAAAATCTCTGGCCCAAAGCCTTTATAGTTTTTCCTCAATCTAAAAATGTGGCATCAAAGTAACTGATGTTGGTTTATAAGGTTATGGATGGAAAAGGGTTGGAGTCCTTAGTTTTAATCTATTTAATAAATGGGAGAATAAAACCTTACCCTTTAGCATGCATCTCCGATTAGAGGTGATTGAAGAAAAATGATCTAATTCTGATTTCTAGCCTGTTGATTGGTGCATCTGTAGTCTTGGTGCTTATGAGAGATTTTGATGTGATGGAAAAATCCACTGAGAGCTATTAGGCCACTGCAGGTTTCCATTTGTGGTACCAAAGCACCCACGTATTTAAAGCCCTACAGGTATCAATAAGTAATAATGTTATATTATCAAAAAGGCTATGTAGCTAATGCAGGATGTGTCCTAATAAGAAAGAAGGAGGTTGGAGGATAGATTTGGTCCAGATTAGAATGTGGGATCCTTAATATCTGTTGGATCACATAAATACTTCAAATATTTTAAATTGAATGCATTTTAATAATGATTCTAAAAATATTACATTTCCTATTTGGGAAGGTTTGTGTATAAATCTACTCTAAAACTTTTGATAATAAAAATGTAACTCAAAAGATAAATGCAGAAAAAAAAGTCCCCAATTTAATTAAACATATTTGCTACCAGCTTAATTTTTGTAATTTTGTTATTAATCTCACTCATTTTTTTTATTTATTAATAAATCTTTAATCATTCTACAGTTCCCCCGACCCTTGACGATTTTATTTTCACCTGTAAAAAAAATGCTAAATAAATAAACGTACGTACTTAATGCTAGTTTTTAAAATAAATATAATAGTGTATATTTGACACATTTTATAGCTTCAATTAAATCCTTGGCTTTCAAAGTCGTGTCCACTAGGTGTAAAAACTTCAACATTAGATTTATTTCCTCACAACAGCTCATATTTTGGTTTGGTGGTTACCTTGACATCTTCATCCAGCTTCATAATTTTCTTGATTCGAGCCAAGGGCAGCTCCTGCACACGGAAATCCTTCTGAAAGAAACGGATTATTACTTTCTTAAAACACATCTTAGGGATAGCTGATCAGATAAAATGCTCTAGTATAAAACATGGATTTGTGCTGAATTTGAAAGCAGTTTGAACCCACTAAAGTTAAGTTCCTGATCTCCTCCATGACTCGAGGCCAGAAGGACTGAAGCGTCTGCTGGGCATCGCAGGTACCGGCTCCAAATGCATCCGACATCTTCTACTGGGCTGCGTGAAGGATGACAAGAAGGATGTGAGTAAATATTATTGAAGAACACAAAACAAAAACAAAGAATATAAATAAATAAAAACTGTTTCAACAGGCCAAGGACACTTGAAATGTTAGTCCAAACCAAGCCTGAGAGGGTGAGAGCTATCAGCACATCATATCTTATCACAACCTGTAAATATGACTGACTGGAATCCAAAGGGAGATGCAAAAGGCTTCTATTCTTGTGGTTTCAAGATGCTGACATTATAAAGATAAGGAACTCTGATTCAGAGAAGCTGTGTGCCCCCTGACTGTCAAAGGCTCTTTCAACTTCTGCACTCCGCTAAAGCTCCTCAACAAGCACGCACTTTTCATGTGCAATTAAATACAGCTTGTGACCTCAGCAGCAGGGATGACGCTAAACCTCTGATGTAAGAGCAAAGAGCGGGATAGAAAAAAGAAAAAGAAATCTCTTAATGACAGAGAAACAATAAAAAAAAATGTAGAGAAAAGCAATTCTTCATTTGGACTCTTGCATAAAGAAAGTCTTGATAAGGGGTCAGCCAGTGTGAAAGAGGAGCTGGCAGGTTACTATGGCATGCCAGGAATCTGGTTTGGGAATACTGGCCTGCCTGTCTGAGCTTGCAGAGCTTAAGAGTGTGCTGATCAGAGCCACTCTCCCTTTTTTCATTTTAACTTTGCAAAAAGACTGGATGAACAGGGGGGAGGGGAAACAGGAACATGGGAACAAGGAAACAAACGTGGAGGTGTTTACAAGAGTTGTTTTGTAGTGCATGAGGAACGGAATGGGCCTTGTCAAGTTCAGTATTAATCCAGCATTAAGGACAAAGTTCCAGCAGCTTTAGCAGTAAGAGATGAGAGACAGACAGGGCCAGAGATAAAAACGCTGCGCAAGCAAGCGTTGTGGGTCGAATGACACAGAAAGAGGGACAAATCAAGAGAGACAGTGAGACATGACGTAACAAAGGATAGCCTGGGCGAGGGGAGGATGATATAATGATATTAGATCGTGAGGGATTAGAACATACCGTATCAACAATCTACCAAGTGGGAGAGCTCATGATATTTTTTATAAGGCACATTTGTCTGGTTTTCCTCTATGAATTTGATTAACTTCTAAGTAGTTCCTCAGGTTATTTGATTGATGCATGTTGATGCAATCTGAGGGCGTTAAGGCAAAGCAGGGATACATGAGGACCAGCAAAGACCAACAAGTCCTCAAAACAGCAAGAACAGCAGAAGCTGTGCAGGGGAGAGTTTCCAAGATGGGCTTTGTCTTCACTTTATTATGTAGAAGGAAACAACAGGTGCTGTCCTCTGCCTTCAGCCATCTAGACGCTAACATCGGTTTCTTGCAAGCTGCAGGAAGCTAAATCTAAGAGCTTTACTGGCTGAACTAAGGCAGGGGGTTAACATACCCCTGTAACTTCCGTTTTCAAGTCAAAGCCTGTTAAACGTAAACTTCCCCAGAAACAGGTATTACATAATAATCTTGTCATACAGTGAACCAGTTTCAGTAAAAAAAAAAAAAAAAGGTCAATTTGATTAAGAAAAGGAATGTAAAAAAAATAAATAAATAAATAAATAAATAAATCTTACATGGCACCTTAATAAAACATGACCACGGATATGGACAATATGGTGTATTTAAGATACAGCAAAGATCTATAAATGCAACTCAACACATAGTTGGAAGTTTGGGCTCTCCAGAATAGTCTGTATTGGCTTTTTAGTATGTTACCAGCAATACTTTTTTTCTTTTTTGTCACAAATATTATAAAACAAGGTTATCAGGAGAAAATATATTAGACTGGCCTCTGATTCATAGTGAACACAACAAATCAAATGAGACACCTTCTTTCAAATATTCCCAATAAGATTTGTAAGCATAAATAAAACAACATATTCCACAGCTCACTAAATAATTCATAATAACCTCTGTTGTTATCAGCTTACCTACTAAATCTGGCTCCACAGTTTTGCAAACAAACATAGTTAATGGTATCCAACAAGCATGACTAGCTTTAATGCAAGTCCAGGAAATAGTATGATACCCACATACACCCTTTCAGTTTTTAATCAGCTTTTTTTTTTTTTTGCCATGCTTACCTAAAAGCAGCTGAAAATATTTCACAGAAATATACACACTGACTGAAATCCTGTGCCCTTCAATCAGCTGATCTCTGACAGGAAAGTAGTGTCTATCTGGCAGGTTACTGAATATTACAGAAGAAGCATTTCTGCATCCTGCCCTGTCATTCAGTTTTTCAACAGACAGTAGCCTAAATCGATAAGACAGAATAGTGGGTGAGGAGGGAGGGGTTATATAAATCAATCGGCCCGCTTCAAGCTATGCATGCCAGGCTAGTGATTGACCTTGACAGTGTCTCCCCCTCACTCTCTGACGCTCTTGTGTCCAGTTGCATTTCAAGGTTGATTGAAGACCTGCAGTCTGCAGAACAATCCCAGCATTCCACAGGAGAATGACAACTAATGGGAATTGTAGTTTTATTTTTGTTTTTATGGTTATCATAATCTCAATAGATAAACTGACTTCCATAGGTTATTTCATCTAATCCTAAATCTTTGCAACACAAAAACAGGTTATTTAGCTTTAAATATCAGCATTTGATATTGTGATATTGGTTAACAAGACATTATTGTGGTTCTGCATGTGTACAGTCTGCCAGCTGGAGTGGCTCTGTCCAGCTGGCAGCCTGATAAGGAACAATAATTAGGCTATTTGTTAAACGTTAAAGACGACCATCAGGCTGCTAATGATGATAACGCCGTGCCACTAAACATCTCCCCAGATCTTTATTCTGTTCTTTTAGCCAATTTAATCTACATTTCCTCCAAAGCAAGAACAGAACGGTTGAAGAAAGAAAAGAAAGAAAAAAAACTCTTTGAAGTGGCACATCCTTCTCTAACCCTATAACCTTCAATGTAAATATACAACCACACACTAACCACGGAGGAAGGAGGGGCGAAGTCAAGTCAACATGTGAGCAGAGATGAGAAAGCAACTGCGATGAGAGGCAGGCTAAAACGTGAGAAAAAGCAGCCAAGCATCAACATGCCTTTTTAGCATTTAGCTCTACTAGTTTAGTGTGCTTTTCTTGCAGTTGATTGAACTTTATAAACTCACATTGGAGAAATTCCCCTCTGCGTTTTACCCATCCCGTTGGGGAGCAGTGTTAAGCAACATTAACAATATTTTGAAATGCTTTGCATTAATGGCAAGTTTGCATGAGAGCCTGTCAATCTGTCAGACAGGGGGTAGACATAAAAAGGCAGGGTGTTAAAGCAAACAGCCACAAAAAAAAAAAAAAGAAATATACCAAGATGTTTTATTTTTAAGTGATGAGTATCTCAGGTTTCAGTTTAACTTTTCTATGCAGACTGAGCTGCTGTTTTATTTAGTCTCAGGTTTAATTCCAGCTCTCTGTCTTTAAACACTCCCTTTTGATATGTAGGATCAACAAAAAACATGTAAATTGATCACAACACGTATCACCATTGCAACGCAACAACCTGGTCATAATTGTGTTCCAATGACGTCATTCATCATTAAATTAGATGAATCATGAGAAAGGCTTCAGGATTTACCCTACCAATAAGAGAGTAGGCCATATCAAGCACTGATTAATGAAACTCTATTATTAGGTAGATAAATGCGTGTTGTACAGAAATGATACAGCTTGTTTATTAAGGTTAATCTCATCATTTCCACTAAAAACGACCTTTACAAAAAGATTTCAGCACATTTAACAGACTTCAAAATTCTCACTCCAAAAGAGGCTGCATTATTCCACGATATACAGCTGTGCTAGTTTGCCCTGAGCTGCTGCTGTATGCTATATTAGGATGGAAAAAATGCTGAACTCTTCCCTGCAGTGTAGTTGTCCTTCTGAGGGGTCATGGGGACAGAAAAATGACAACGTTTGGTTTCCTGAAAAATATAGTACCATGGGTTTTTAAGTGCCAAATGTCTGTGCTGTAAAAAAAAACTTTTGCAGCAACTTGCTCTTCCTCCTATGTGCGTTCCACATCTCTACTCCTATTTCCTCTCTGGTGCGTCTTGTTCCGCAGTTGAGCGCTCCTCGTTTCCTCCGTCTTATTTCCCTTCACCTGATCCTCCTCCTCCATCCTCTATAAGAAAGTCGATGCTGCTCTGCTTGCAGCAGCTGAATCAGCGCTAATGTTGGTCTAATCTCTCTTTTTTACTCTCCCATTCTGTAACATCACTTTAAGAGGCCCGTCTTCGGCAGCGTCGACCTGCTTCAACTCTGACATCTGCCTGCATCCAATGAGCCTTTAAGCCCTGTCTAATAAATCTCATAAGACCCTTGCTAAGGCATAGAAACAGAACGCTGGCCACTTTTAAATTTAACGAATAAAGACTTTTTAGATATTAAATTCTGACATTTTCACTATTAATTATATGTCATCATTAGAATGACTGTATTTACAGTTAGAAAAAATGCATTCTCTCTAGTATCTCCCAAGTAAATTATTTTATAAACTATACAAAAAGTAAGACTGCAGATTTTAATAGCAATGGAACCAACTTTTTTTTTTTTTTTATCTAAAAACCTGACTAATCAAATTGCTCATTCTCAGCTTTCAGGGATGAAGGAATTTCTCATGTGCAAGTGTGACAACTGGTCACAAACAAATAGATTCCAAACCATATAAATTATTTTACCTATAAGACCCTAGAAGCGACACAAGGTGTCCTTTTCAAAGGCATAAGGTAATTTGCAAACACTTTACAATAAGCCTCTGCTTATAGATGGCCATAAATAATATACAGATATCAGGGATGTCCTAATCTGATACTAATATCAGATATCAATCTACTATTAGGCAAATAACTAATATTATATTATATGTAAAATCTTACATATAAGCAAGGTGACAGAAACTCTGCTTCTATTCAGGTTTTTTGTTAATCACAAATGGATCAGTTGTTTTCAAACCAACTGTTATTGGCTGTTATTCTCGGTTTGAGTAAAATCACTTCATCAAGCCTTTTTTAATATCCCTTAGCTACTAAATAAGTAGCAACAGTATGTATGTTTCCAGTATCCGAAATTGTATTGGGTCACTATTTCCATCTGTCAATACTCAGATCCGCATCAGAAGGGAAGATACGTATGTAGACATCTGTTAAAGCCATATATCACATTTATAAGTGCTTCTTATGTCTTAATTAAGGCTAAGCGAGAGAAAAAAAACTGACCAATTTCTTGTCAAATTGTGAGCCGAATCTATATTGCTATATGTTTCAGATAGAGTTGTTTATATTCGACATTTCAAATTGTTAATACCTTGAAAGAACAACAAGCATTTGCAAGATAGACTTTTATAGCATGTTTGATATATTGATTGGGACAATAATAAAAACGTATGAGTTATAACGCTTTTAGAGATTAATCAATGACATATCTATGAATTATTTATTAGGCTTCTATAAGAGGAGCCTTACTGTAAAGTGGAACCAGTATTTTACAGGACAACTGACCAATCTGACTCTTCCTGGCTGACACCAGATTTCCATTTTCTTTGCAGTCTGACTTGTCTTCTCTAATTTTTGATTCAGTTTGTTTTCTCCAAAATGACTATATGATAGAAAACACTGCAGAGCTGCATGATGTATTTACTTGTTTATTCTTTATTGGAAGGGGGTGTAGATTCATTTTAGGAACGGTAAAAAAATAAATCTGATATTTTTCTGGTCAGTGGAGGAAAAATCATAACCTTCCTCCGATTGACTGATGCAAATCTAACGTGCTTACATATACTCTCACAGTGGGGTTTTCACCTGTAGACTCGTAAGGTTTCCCTTCTTGGAAAGTGAAGCGATCAAACTCAAACTGTCAGAGTAAACAAAAAGCAGGCTCATGGATGGATGATTGCTTTTTCACTGTAAGTCTTTAAATCAGTTGAAAGGCGGTGATGAGTGAAACTGTCAGTGATACAGAGTAGGCAGTTTGGAATTAAGGTTATAAAAAGTTGAAGTTTTAACTAGCATGCTGAACAGAGACAAATATGACAGTTTTATTTCACTGTTTCATGGAGAAAAGGCCTTTTGTTTTATAAGACAGTTTTACTCTGATGGATGAAACACATTCAAGGGTCATACTGACATTTATTTTGAAGCATAGCCCTGAATAAAGGAGAGTTCTACACGCAAACTGTGAACTATCAAAGCACTTAGACTTATGCCCCCTCCCTCCTTCATAACAAACAGCACACTGGCGTGGGTACAGCATGCAGGGTAAATAATTTACCTGGTAGAAAAAAACACCCACAAATAAAAAATAAAAAAACACACAAGGTTTCCAGCCAGGAATTATAGATTTACAACAAAGATGCGCCTACTTTTTTGTGCATATGTTAGTGCAAATGTCGATAGATTACAGAGAAAGATGAGTTAGGGCATTAATGATGAACATGCTCGCTGCTCATCAACCTGATCCCTTTGACCTGTCCAGTACAAACTAGCTGACCGAACCGCCCTGCAAACTTTGCCCTTGGTTCTGCTTCAAGCAAACTCCAGGAAGTGCTAGTCAGTGATCTCCCAAGGTCATTCAACAGAGGAGCGAGAGAACCCAGAGAGGGAGGAGGGAGAAAAGGGAGATGAAATAGAGACGGGGGGGTGGGAGGGGGGTGAAAAGGGACAGGTTTTTCTAACTTTCCCTGCAGCAACCAAGTGACCTAGGCAGTTCAGGCTTTCCACTTTCTAAGAAGCCAAAAAAAATAAAAATAGTGGACACTGCAAATATTAGCTATGTTTTTGTTTTTTCCTAAATAAGTGTTACTTCTTCCTATCGTTCTCCAAATTTCTACTTCTCGTTTGCAAACAGAGATACTGCAGGAGTCAGTGCCTCCTTCCTGTGACCTTCATCCAATTCTAGGCCTGGTCTCTTGCATCAAACTAGGCATGGGTAAAAACACCTGAGCGCAAAAAAGTTTAAAATAAACAACAGAGCGTTCATTGTTGATGTACACATGAGCAGGGGAAAGAGGGAGGGTAGAGCAGCTGTGGTCATTTTAAGGATATGATGGCCAGCTCATTAAAAAGGTTTGTTTGAATTTTATGTAGATCTACAAATGATATTCAAATCTCATTCAAACAGCAACCAACCCTGGGATTTGGCAACAACCACTTTAACTTAAGAGTTATTTTTAGTCTCCCTCTCTCAATCTCTCGCTTCCCTCGGCAGGACTCTGTTTTGTCAAAGGCACCAAGGGAACTTCAATTCTGGGAGCACAAGAGGAAGAAAGAAAGAGTCAGAGGCAAGTGAGAGAAGACGCGTCCTCTGAAGACTCCATCAGAAAGGATCAGATCAAACCATTAGCCTGCTTTGCCCCTGAAGCTGACAGGCTGACAGTCCGTCCCATCTGGGTGTCTGGCACCATTGGGGAGGGGGACCTGAGGGGGTCCTGAGGTCACTATAACCAGCTGCACCTCCACCCCTGGGGACCTCCATTTAGGTCTGAGCACAGAACAACAATCCATAAAAAAACTAATAAGTAATCACAATCTCCGTGCACACTAGTAGAAATTTGAAAAAAAGAGTAATTTCCCTGCCATGCCACTAGTTGGCGATAGACATGTGCATGTGTGCAAACAATTCCTGCTTAAATAGCTAAGGTGTAAAGAAATAAATGGCAGGAACCCAAATGTTTATTCGAAAGAGTCAAACAGGTTTAAATGTTGCTTAAGACTTTTTTTTTTTTTTTTAGACAGATTTTATTTGTCATTTTGTTTACACAAGCTTAAAACAAAAAGAAATTTCGTTTGGAAACAGCTCACTGGACAATTTCATCTTTTTAAAAAGGGCAGCCTTGAAAAATAGTAAAAATGACTGTAAATTTACAGTTCTAACTTTTTACTTTTTTAAGGGGACTTTATAATATTACAATATATTCTACGTTTTCTGATTTATTTCTCTAATTACAGACATAAAGCACATGTACCAGGAATTATTATTCAGAGAAAGGAAGGTGAATCCTTTGAATTTGAAACCTATTTTGATCATAATGTTGTCAGAGAGAACAGGTTTTGATGCACAATACTAATATTTTCTTTATTAAATAAAATAATGTCCTGTGCAAATGGTCTAAAACTGGAGCTTTTCCAATCAGTCTGCAGTAGATTGGAATCAGACAATTTCCCCTAATTCCTAATTAGAGAAGAAAGAAAATAGAAAAAAAATCAATTTCCTCTAAATATCAAAATGGATCAAAACTACAAAGAACCAGTGAGGCACATTTTTGAGTTTAATCAAAAAATAACAAACAATAAAACATCAAGAAAACATGCCTTGATTAAAAATCCAGTAATTCCCAATTTTTTGTTGGAATAAAGATTTCAAAATGGATGACCTTTAATAGAGCATCACCATTTTCAACTAAATCTTCCCTTGCCTTCTTTCCAGCCTGGCACCTACATGTGACCAAGAAGGTCAGTTTAAAAGAGAGGAAAAAAAGCAAAGCAGCACCTAAAGGGCCCGCTCTCAATGTCAGCGCCAACAAGACACCAAGGTCCATTTGAGCACTGAGTCAGATTTTTGGCAGCAGCACTCTTCCATTCAGTCAATATCAGGGCACAGAGTGCATGTTTTTGTACACGGTGGGCCAAAGTCAAAGCAAGTGACATCCCAAGATGACAGGACTTCGATTTCCGTTAAAAATAGCGTAATATCTTTAAACTATTTTAACCAGAAATAATTTCACGAAACCACCCATGATGCAGTGAAGTGACAAATGAAGGACATTAGTGAAAATCATAATACTGAACTAAGGAGAAAAAAAAAA